CTCAAAGGCAAATGGGGCCAGATAACATCCCCCATGGGTATTGAGAGAGGGAGCAGAGGCGCTATGTGTACCCTAACAACAATATTCAATACATCTATCGAAACAGGGAGATTGCCTGAGGCATGGAAGACAGCAAATGTAGTCCCAATCTTTAAAAAAGGAGACAGACATGAAGCATTAAACTACAGACCAGTGTCACTGTACATGTATAGTATGCAAAATCATGGAGAAGATTATCAGGAGAAGAGTGGTGGAACACCTAGAAAGGAACGATCTCATCAACAGCAGCCAACATGGTTTCAGGGACGGGAAATCCTGTGTCACAAACCTACTGGAGTTCTATGACATGGTGACAGCAGTAAGACAAGAAGAGAGAGGGGTGGGTGGATTGCATTTTCTTGGACTGCCAAGAAGACGTTTGACACAGTTCCACACAAGAGATTGGTGCAAAAACTGGAGGACCAAGCAGGGATAACAGGGAAGGCCACTACAATGGATCAGGGAATACTTGTCAGGAAGACAGCAGCGAGTCATGGTACGTGGCGAGGTGTCAGAGTGGGCACCTGTGACCAGCGGGGTCCACAGGGGTCAGTCCTAGGACCAGTGCTGTTTCTGGTATTTGTGAACGACATGACGGAAGGAATAGACTCTGAGGTGTCCCTGTTTGCAGATGACGTGAAGTTGATGAGAAGAATTCACTCGATCGAAGACCAGGCAGAACTACAAAGGGATCTGGACAGGCTGCAGACCTGGTCCAGCAATTGGCTCCTGGAGTTCAATCCCACAAGTGCAAAGTCATGAAGATTGGGGAAGGGCAAAGAAGACCGCAGACGGAAGTACAGTCTAGGGGGCCAGAGATACAAACCTCACTCAAGGAAAAAGATCTTGGGGTGAGTATAACACCAGGCACATCTCCTGAAGCGCACATCAACCAAATAACTGCTGAGCATATGAGCGCCTAGCAAACCTCAGAACAGCATTCCGACATCTTAATAAGGAATCATTCAGGACCCTGTACACCGTGTACGTTAGGCCCATATTGGAGTATGCGGCACCAGTTTGGAACCCACACCTAGCCAAGCACGTGAAGAAACTAGAGAAAGTGCAAAGGTTTGCAACAAGACTAGTCCCAGAGCTAAGAGGTATGTCCTACGGAGAGAGGTTAAGGGAAATCAACCTGACGACATTGGAGGACAGGAGAGATAGGGGGGACATGATAACGACATACAAAATACTGAGAGGAATTGACAAGGTGGACAAAGACAGGATGTTCCAGAGATTGGACACAGTAACAAGGGGACACAGTTGGAAGCTGAAGACACAGATGAATCACAGGGATGTTAGGAAGTATTTCTTCAGCCACAGAGTAGTCAGAAAGTGGAATAGTTTGGGAAGCGATGTAGTGGAGGCAGGATCCATACATAGCTTTAAGCAGAGGTATGATAAAGCTCACGGCTCAGGGAGAGTGACCTAGTAGCGATCAGTGAAGAGGCGGGGCCAGGAGCTCGGACTCGACCCCCGCAACCTCAACTAGGTGAGTACACACACACACACACACACACACACACACACACACACACACACACAACAACACACACACACACACACACACACACACACACACACAAGCACTGGCAATCATACTTCAGGTGAATTCGACGAAGATGCTTTGATTCTAGCCATGATTGAGGCGCCCAAGAGCACTCTCCCTGCAAGGTAAGACAGCGTCCACTGCCTGTCACCTGGTTTACGTCACCACCTGCGCCTCAGCACCTGTAAAGACAGCAGCATCATTGCGGTTCATCTCTCTTGCGGTGACGGCGATGAGGGAGATTATGATGGAGAATTGGTCAGGTTCTATGCAGGGTAACATTGGCGTCTAGCGGAGCCGCCCAGAGCATCAGATGGGACGGTAATGGAGCAGTGTTGAGTGCAGGTATAGGCGGAGTGGTGGAGGTAGTGGTAGTGGTGGTGGTAGTGGTGGTGTTGGTGGTAGTGGTGGCGCTTCTTCTGGTGAGATAATGACAGCGATATTGAAGATTTCGGGTAATAGCTAGACACGACTTCCGTGTTGCCAGGTGTGTGTGTGTGTGTGTGTGAGTGTGTGTGTGTGTGTGTGTGTGTGTGTGTGTGGTGTGTGTGTGTGTGTGTGTGTGTGTGTGTGTGTTGTGTGTGTGTGTGTTCGTGTTCGTGTACAGAGTCCTTTAGCAATTCTTTGTTCAACACCCTGAAGATGCTTCTGATATTAGCTGTCTGGCACATGTTTGATATGTTGTGTGACGTATGTGTACCGCCATGTATGGTCCAACATCCTTCCCTTTACCATACATTTCTAGTAACACATTTCTCGGTCTGTGTTCCGTCTCCGGTCTTCTCTCTCGTGCTGGGAGAACTTTGGAAAAACGAAAATCAAGTCTCACGAAAGTCTGGCTACCCGTGTACTAGAGGGTACTAGAAGATACTAGAAGGTACTGTAGGCTGTAGCAGGTCGTACATAGTAGAGTGTATACCAACGTTGCAGGGAATGGTTTTATTGTTAATATGTGAGTTATCTCTCAATACTCACACGTATTCTTTACTTTTTAACACCCATCACACACACACTATAATATATATATATATATATTATATATATATATTATATAATATATATATATATATATATATATATATATATATATATATAATACACAATGCTGCAATTTGGTAATGGCATTTGAAGTGTGGGAATTCACAGTTAGGTGTTGAGACGGACCTGAGGCAGCTGGCTGGAACCACACACACACACACACACACACACACACACACACACACACACACACACACACACACACACACACATACACACACACACACCAGATGTTCTTATGTGTGTGTGTGTGTGTGTGTGTATTAACCTGCCTTAGAGGGTGTACAGGAGGGGGGGATGTAGGAGAGGAGGGGGTGTCTTGTAGGTGAGGGGGAGGGAAGGAGGGTAGGGGAGGCCTCACCAGTGTTCAACTAACACACACATTATCATACTAACTAAACGTAATTTACTGGTGGAAACATTGTAGGCTCCAATGTTTGACTTTTATCACCTCGTAACACTCCACTTCTCGAGGCTCTGTGTCACCCTCACGGGTTTAGCGCTTCCCTGTCACATTATAACAGGATGAAGGCTCCACCCCCCACCCCGTCTCCCCCACTTGGTGATTAAATATAGTTTCCCAGCCTGTAACTAAACTAAGGCAGGATAACAGCCCTTACTCTTGTAAACAAAGGTAGAGTAACAGCCCTTACTCTTGTAAACAAAGGTAGAGTAACAGCCTTACTCTTGTAAACAAAGGTAGAGTAACAGCCCTTACTCTTGTAAACAAAGGTAGAGTAACAGTCCTTACTCTTGTAAACAAAGGTAGAGTAACAGCCCTTACTCTTGTAAACAAAGGTAGAGTAACAGCCTTACTCTTGTAAACAAAGGTAGAGTAACAGTCCTTACTCTTGTAAACAAAGGTAGAGTAACAGCCCTTACTCTTGTAAACAAAGGTAGAGTAACAGCCCTTACTCTTGTAAACAAAGGTAGAGTAACAGTCCTTACTCTTGTAAACAAAGGTAGAGTAACAGCCCTTACTCTTGTAAACAAAGGTAGAGTAACAGCCTTACTCTTGTAAACAAAGGTAGAGTAACAGTCCTTACTCTTGTAAACAAAGGTAGAGTAACAGTCCTTACTCTTGTAAACAAAGGTAGAGTAACAGCCCTTACTCTTGTAAACAAAGGTAGAGTAACAGCCTTACTCTTGTAAACAAAGGTAGAGTAACAGCCTTACTCTTGTAAACAAAGGTAGAGTAACAGTCCTTACTCTTGTAAACAAAGGTAGAGTAACAGTCCTTACTCTTGTAAACAAAGGTAGAGTAACAGCCCTTACTCTTGTAAACAAAGGTAGAGTAACAGTCCTTACTCTTGTAAACAAAGGTAGAGTAACAGCCCTTACTCTTGTAAACAAAGGTAGAGTAACAGCCCTTACTCTTGTAAACAAAGGTAGAGTAACAGTCCTTACTCTTGTAAACAAAGGTAGAGTAACAGTCCTTATTCTTGTAAACAAAGGTAGAGTAACAGTCCTTATTCTTGTAAACAAAGGTAGAGTAACAGTCCTTACTCTTGTAAACAAAGGTAGAGTAACAGTCCTTATTCTTGTAAACAGAGGGAGTAACAGCCCTTATTCTTGAAAACAGAGAGAGTAACAGCCCTTACCATTGTAAACAGAGGGAGAGTAACAGCCCTTATTCTTGAAAACAGAGAGTAACAGCCATTACCATTGTAAACAGAGGTAACAACCCTTACCCTTGTAAACAGAGGTAACAGCCCTTACCTTTGTAAACAGAGGTAAGATAACAGTCCTTACCCTTGTAAACAGAGGTAAGATAACAGTCCTTACCCTTGTAAACAGAGGTAAGATAACAGTCCTTACCCTTGTAAACAGAGGTAAGATAACAGTTCTTACCCTTGTAAACAGAGGCAAGATAACAGTCCTTACCCTTGTAAACAGAGGCAAGATAACAGTCCTTACCCTTGTAAACAGAGGTAGATAACAGTCCTTACCCTTGTAAACAGAGGCAAGATAACAGTCCTTACCCTTGTAAACAGAGGTAAGATAACAGTCCTTACCCTTGTAAACAGAGGTAAGATAACAGTCCTTACCCTTGTAAACAGAGGTAAGACAACAGTCCTTACCCTTGTAAACAGAGGCAAGATAACAGTCCTTACCCTTGTAAACAGAGGTAAGATAACAGTCCTTACCCTTGCAAACAGAGGTAAGACAACAGTCCTTACCCTTGTAAACAGAGGCAAGATAACAGTTCTTACCCTTGTAAACAGAGGTAAGACAACAGTCCTTACCCTTGTAAACAGAGGTAAAACAGTCCTTACCCTTGTAAACAACCTGGGCAGAGTAGCATCTCTTACTTAAACCTGTAAAATTGAACCTATTTCAACTTCAAGAATAACCTCAGGTTCTTCCACAGGTACTAGACATCGGGTTCAACTTGATCACGGAGGTACCTGAGGACGGCTTCAGGGGCATCAGGTCCCTCACTCTGCTGGCCCTGGATGGTAACCCACTCAACAGCGTCCCTGGACAAGCTTTCTCTCACCTCAACACCTCCCTCAGGGGTCTCTCTGTCGGTACGTAGGAGCGTTCCCTCAGGGGTCTCTCTGTCGGTACGTAGGAGCCTTCCCTCAGGGACTCTCTGTCGTTACGTAGACGTTCCCTCAGGGTCTCTCTGTCGGTACGTAGGAGCCTTCCCTCAGGGACTCTCTGTCGGTACGTAGGAGCCTTCCCTCAGGGGACTCTCTGTCGGTACGTAGGAGCCTTCCCTCAGGGGACTCTCTGTCGGTACGTAGGAGCCTTCCCTCAGGGGACTCTCTGTCGGTACGTAGGAGCCTTCCCAGGGCTCTCTGTCGGTACGTAGGAGCCTTCCCTCAGGGGACTCTCTGTCGGTACGTAGGAGCCTTCCCTCAGGGGACTCTCTGTCGGTACGTAGGAGCCTTCCCTCAGGGGACTCTCTGTCGGTACGTAGGAGCCTTCCCTCAGGGGTCTCTCTGTTGGTACGTAGGAGCGTTCCCTCAGGGGTCTCTCTGTCGGTACGTAGAAGCCTTCCCTCACGGGTATTTCTATTGGTACGTAGGAGCCTTTCCTCAGGGGTCTTTCTGTCGGTACGTGGGAGCCTTCTCTCAGGGTCTTTCTGTCGGTACGTAGGAGAATTCCCTTAGGGGTCCTTACTCGGTAAGTAGGAGCCTTCCCTCAGGGATCTCTGTTGATACGTAGGAGCCTTCCCTCAGGGATCTCTCCGTCTGGTACGCAGGAACCTAGCTAGGCTGTGCGCAGGGGTGCACAAGAATAAACTGGATAATAGGAGAGAGAGAGAGAGAGAGAGAATCACTATGTAAAGAGAGTATTCTTCTACTGGTTACAGGAGGGCGGTTCTTGCACTGCGACTGCAAAGTTGCCTGGATCTCGGAGTGGATACGCGACTACGATCTGCAAGTGACATCGCGCGAGCGCAACCCGCAGTTCTGCGGTCAGCCGCCAGACTTGCGCGACCGTTCCTTCTACCAGTTGAACCCGGCGGAACTAGCCTGCAACACCACCAGCTCTTCAGCCACTCCTACCAGAGCGTCATCTCCCTCGCCTCCCAGGACAGAGTTCCCTCCTGCCGCCACTACAACCACTGCTTTCCCTCTACCACCACCAACTACCCCCACTACCACCACTACTACTACCACCACCACCACCACCACCACCAGTCCACCAGATCCTCAGGTAAGTAGTTTTACAAGTTAAACGCCAGCAGGCAAAGACTCGCGTTTCTTCCCCGGACACCGAGACATAGGACACAGATACGGTGCAAGCTGACAGTGACCCTATAAACCAACAATCATAACTTACAGACCCATTGCATGACCGTTGTAAATTAATCGCTTTCCTATGTATACAGAAAGGATAAATACACCGAAAGGTATATTTCTCTTATTGTATATATGCCGAGAGTTTCCTCTAACCTTAGTTTTTGGGATTAAAGTGTTATTGTGGGAGTGGTGAAAAGGTAGTGTAGTTGATAGGCTTTAAACCCTGTTAAACAATCCCATGAATATAGTACACTAAAAATTTGCTCATACGGGTTTAATTTTTTATTAACGCATGGGCCGTTTCCCACCGAGGCAGGTGACCCCGAAAAAGAAAAAACACTCTCATCATCACACTCCATCACTGTCTTGCCAGAGGTGTGCTGCACCACAGTTAAAACTGCGCCATATCTCCACCCCTCTCTGTATAACACGGGTTTAATTCTCTATTAAATATAATAATGTTTCTATCAGAGCAGCTGGTGGCTTACTGTCCTCATCATCATCAGTATTTATAACTGCCAAGGTTGAATTATTATTATTATCAATACTAAGCGCTGAACCCACAAGGGCCATACGGCGCTGTTCCCGAGATTGAAATTTAACATCTCCCCTTTGCCAGGAGCCAAGGTGTGTATGCGTGTTTGTTTTCTTGTTTACGTGTGTGTGTGTGTGTGTGTGTGTGTGTGTGTGTGTGTGTGTGTGTGTGTGTGTGTGTGTGTGTGTGTGTGTGTGTGTGTATCCCATATTTATTTTGTGAAGACAGAAGCGCCAGGAGATTCCTATTTAAGTTTACATTACCTGATTACAGGTAATGTAAGCTCAATGTGCGGGTTATTGGTGTATTGTTCCAGTTACGGTATTGTGTCTCTTTGTTCATTACAGGTGACATCGTTCCGGCCGGGCAGTGTCTTCGTACCAGGAGTCGCCGAGCGAGGAGACGAGACCAGCGGTGTCGGTAGCGTAGGGAACATCCAGCGTGGTCCGGGGGGTGAGGCTCCGATGGCAGAGGAAATGTTAGATCACCACCCTATCCTTGACTTGCCTCCTCCGCAGGCGCCCCCTACACGGTTCCAGCAGGGCTCCCCTAGGGTGGAGCGACCGATGGAACAGCCGGTTCACCCACCTGGACCCAAACTGGTGATGAGGAACAATGAAGCGCCCCAGGACGGGTTCTTCGGTCCGAGATCTGACGGTCCATACGTCGAGGAGGTGAGTGTCGCGAGAACTACACAAGACTAGCTAGTTCCGCTAGTTTTAGCTCACCTTCCATCACCCCATCACTACCCACAACAATCCATCGCTACCCCGGTACTCCATCGCTACCCCGGTACTCCATCGCTACAAACACTCCATTACCTCCATCATTCCCTCCCCGCCACCTCTCCCCTTCTCACACCAGTGATAACTCTCGTCTCTCCTTCAGGTTATCGTGCAAGACGCCTACAGAAAGGACAACTCCGTTATCATACAGTGGGACTCAGAGGTGTCGAATATCCTCGGTTTCCGTGTTGTCTACAGACTCTTCGGTGACAAAAACTTCAAGGTACAGAGTAAACATCTTCAGAAATAAATAAAACCAATATACATATTCTTTCCTATAAGTGATAATTTCAACAGTAATAACGCTATCTTTACCACCACCACCACCACCACTACTAGTACTACTACTACTACTACTACTACTATTGACTACCCGCAGCTTGGACCACCGCTGGCGGCCTCTGAGAGAGAGTTTAAGATCAAGAATGTCCCAACTCAGGAGTGTATAGTGGTGTGTGTCGTCTCGCTGGAAGACGTCAATGTTACTCCAGACAAGTGAGTCTCACCTTTAATATTTTCTTACTCTCTTAGTATTAACACCTTCCCCTTCGAGAAGGGAACCCTGATGTTGTTGAAGAGGTATCTCTCCCTTCAAGAAGTGTGCCTTGATACTGTTGAAGGGTTCTTGATTCTCAGAAAGGGTGCTAACTCTTCCTTTCCTTAATCTTAATTATCTATTTCCCAGGCGATATATGACCATACGGGTTTAACCCGAATCGTCTTAGTGTGACCCATACAGCGTGTCACGAACAGTACTCATTACCTACAGCATACCACACTAACAAGTCATTATCTCCTACAGCGTGCCATATTCACAGTGCCGGGAGATCCGCACGGAGACCTCAACCACCATGCACATGGATACCATCATCATTGCGGCTTCTGCTGCCATCTGCGGCACGGTCATCGTTGCGGTCATCGTCTTCATCTGCTGCAACCGCAAGCGGGTGGACCATCACCGCGAGAAAGAGGGTATCCCTGCGGTACTGAACCCTGTCTCCCCGCCTCTGGCATCACTGGGCACTCTGGCACCAGGACCACTAGCTGGAGGAGGAGCTGGAGGAGGACCTCCTAGCACCAAAGCGGAGTGGGACACATTATCCATGTATTCGCAAAGGTCCATTCCAAGGGCCAGAATGTATCACCTTGAGAAAGGTGAGAATACTTCTGGGTTCATGTGTAGTGTATTTTTATACATATTCATGCAAAAAAATCACAAGGGGGAAGTGAATGATAGCTCTAGGCCTTTCGTGCTGCAATCAACACATCTTCAGGAGCTTGCAATGTTGCAGCAATGAGTAGGAAGTCCAGGTAGATTGGTTCAAGGGAACGACTCTAGCTAGCTGTAGTTGTTTTGCATCCTGTATCGCTTGTTCGCAATTATTGCATACATATTCATATCACTGAACATCATTATACATATTCATATCCATATTACACGTTTTTATGTATATTTTGTCTTCAAGGTGGGGAAGAAAGATATTCTTCACGCCTCTACTTCCATGTTCCTCTTACTACTCTATCTCTCAATGTCTCTGTCTCTTCGCAGGTTCCGTCAACAATGGGTTCGTACCAGACGACGCTAGGTCTCACATCTCTCACGCGTCTTCCAGACACTTGCCAAGACCACGATCTATGGCTGATGGACAGAGTCAGAGATCCTACTCTGCACTCAGCTCGGCTCACCTCAGACATCCCCCGCCCACTTTAGGCCTCTCCAGACAAGGTTGGTGAACAGTGCAGTTGAAGACGAATAGGGAGAGAGTAAAATTATCTACCTCTGTTAAACCTCTTAGAGTACAAGATCACAGTAATTTGTAAATAACAGTTATCAGGTAATAACCATACACACTAAAGTTTCAGGCATGTCGACAGCACTTACAAGAATGATTTCTACACTCTTGTTCCAACCAAAACAGGAAGCAAACGGAGGAATGCTACCAGGATATCTTCTTTACATGCACACGGAATTAGCATGATATAAACCTTGTTAATAGATGACAACAAATTGATTTAGAAAGACGTGTGAGCAAACACCAGGACATATTTATCAGAAAACGTTCCGGTCCTGGGTCAGAATACTCATAAGACTGCTACTACACCCGCCAAGCTATTTTTTTCTTCAGAACTAAGGACCCTTCACAGTTCCTCAGGGAGCACATCAACACACTTAAACCGCTACTAAAAACCAGCGTAATATTCCTTGATGACAGCACAGCTATCAGCATAGCGAAAGCATAAACAAAGCCCTCCCATTATCATCACAGTAAGTACTACTACTATCATCATCACAGTAGGTACTGGTAATACCATCACAGTAGGTACTACTACCATCACACAGTAGTACTGCATATACACAGTAGGTACTACTACACCATCATCACAGTAGGTCGGGTAATACCATCACAGTAGGTACTAATACCATCACAGTAGGTACTACTTATACCATCACAGTAGGTACTGGTAATACCATCACAGTAGGTACTACTAATACCATCACAGTAGGTACTACTAATACCATCACAGTAGGTACTACTAATACCATCACAGTAGGTACTACTACCATCATCACAGTAGGTACTGGTAATACCATCACAGTAGGTACTACTAATACTATCACAGTAGGTACTGGTAATACCATCACAGTAGGTACTACTAATACCATCACAGTAGGTACTGGTAATACCATCACAGTAGGTACTACTAATACCATCACAGTAGGTACTACTAATACCATCACAGTAGGTACTGGTAATACCATCACAGTAGGTACTACTAATACCATCACAGTAGGTACTACTAATACCATCACAGTAGGTACTACTAATACCATCATCACAGTAGGTACTGGTAATACCATCACAGTAGGTACTACTAATACCATCACAGTAGGTACTGGTAATACCATCACAGTAGGTACTACTACCATCACAGTAGGTACTACTACCATCACAGTAGGTACTGGTAATACCATCACAGTAGATACTACTAATACCATCACAGTAGGTACTGGTAATACCACCATAGTAGGTACTACTAATACCATCACAGTAGGTACTGGTAATACCATCACAGTAGGTACTACTAATACCATCACAGTAGGTACTATTATACCATCACAGTAGGTACTGGTATCCATCACAGTAGTACTGGTAATACCATCACAGTAGGTACTACTAATACCATCACAGTAGGTACTGGTAATACCATCACAGTAGTATACTACTAATACCATCACAGTAAGTACTGTAATATCACCATAGTAGGTACTATAATACCATCACAGTAGGTACTGGTAATACCATCACAGTAGGTACTACTAATACCATCACAGTAGGTACTTAATACCATCACAGTAGGTACTGTAATACCAATCACAGTAGGTACTACTAATACCATCACAGTAGGTACTACTAATACCATCACAGTAGGTACTACTACCATCATCACAGTAGGTACTGGTAATACCATCACAGTAGGTACTACATACCTCAAGTAGTCTAATACCATCATCACAGTAGGTACTGGTAATACCATCACAGTAGGTATTACTAATACCATCACAGTAGGTATTGGTAATACCATCACAGTAGTACTACTAATACCATCACAGTAGGTACTGGTAATATCATCACAGTAGGTACTACTAATACCATCACAGTAGGTACTGCTAATACCATCACAGTAGGTACTACTACCATCATCACAGTAGGTACTGGTAATACCATCACAGTAGTTACTACTAATACCATCACAGTAGGTACTAATACCATCATCACAGTAGGTACTGGCAATATCATCACAGTAGGTACTACTACTACCATCATCACAGTAGGTACTGGTAATACCATCACAGTAGGTACTAATACCATCACAGTAGGTACTACTTATACCATCACAGTAGGTACTGGTAATAACATCACAGTAGGTACTACTAATACCATCACAGTAGGTACTATTAATACCATCACAGTAGGTACTACTAATACCATCACAGTAGGTACTACTACCATCATCACAGTAGGTACTGGTAATACCATCACAGTAGGTACTACTAATACCATCACAGGTACTGGTAATACCATCACAGTAGGTACTACTAATACCATCACAGTAGGTACTATTAATACCATCACAGTAGGTACTGGTAATACCATCACAGTAGGTACTACTAATACCATCACAGTAGGTACTGGTAATACCATCACAGTAGATACTACTAATACCATCACAGTAGGTACTAATACCATCACAGTAGGTACTGGTAATACCATCACAGTAGATACTACTAATACCATCACAGTAGGTACTGGTAATACCACCATAGTAGGTACTACTAATACCATCACAGTAGGTACTGGTAATACCATCACAGTAGGTACTACTAATACCATCACAGTAGGTACTATTAATACCATCACAGTAGGTACTGGTAATACCATCACAGTAGGTACTGGTAATACCATCACAGTAGGTACTACTAATACCATCACAGTAGGTACTGGTAATACCACCATAGTAGGTACTACTAATACCATCACAGTAGGTACTGGTAATACCATCACAGTAGGTACTACTAATACCATCACAGTAGGTACTATTAATACCATCACAGTAGGTACTGGTAATACCATCACAGTAGGTACTACTAATACTATCACAGTAGGTACTACTAATACCATCACAGTAGGTACTACTACCATCATCACAGTAGGTACTGGTAATACCATCACAGTAGGTACTACTAATACCATCACAGTAGGTACTACTACCATCATCACAGTAGGTACTGGTAATACCATCACAGTAGGTACTACTAATACCATCACAGTAGGTATTGGTAATACCATCACAGTAGTACTACTAATACCATCACAGTAGGTACTGGTAATACCATCACAGTAGGTACTACTAATACCATCACAGTAGGTACTACTAATACCATCACAGTAGGTACTACTACCATCATCACAGTAGGTACTGGTAATACAATCACAGTAGTTACTACTAATACCATCACAGTAGGTACTACTAATACCATCATCACAGTAGGTACTGGTAATACCATCACAGGTACTACTACCATCACAGTAGGTACTGGTAATACCATCACAGTAGGTACTACTAATACCATCACAGTAGGTACTGGTAATACCATCACAGTAGGTACTACTAATACCATCATCACAGTAGGTACTACTAATACCATCACAGTAGGTACTACTAATACAATCACCACCACAAACTTAACCACAACCAAAATTCCCGGTACTGTGACCAGTGATGCAGGTGTATACTTTATGCCTGAAGGTGGTTGCCAGAAAATATACGTTGGTGAGACTTGGAGGTGTTTAAAAGGATTGAGGTGTGAACGCCCCCGCGGCCCGGTCCGTGACCAGGCCTCACGCATGTAATTCGTCACAGTACTCAGGTCATCTCACGACGCGAGACAAGTCATCGCACAAGTAGACCTACGCAGGGTTCGACAAAGACTTGCCTAGTATGGGCCAGTAGGCCTGTTGCAGTGCACCTCCCTTCTTATGGTCCCATGTTAAGAGAAAGTGTCTAGAAGCTGCCCTCAACGCTATTTCCCATGCAAACCACGGGACAGGTGGGTTCGAACCCTGAGCAAGTTAGACCTACAACTCCAGGCCTGTTTACAATCACGTTATTATGATTTTAAGTGTTGAAGGTGTCAAAACTGAGGCCACTTTAACAAGTGTTCTCAGACCATCAACAAGTGTTCTCAGACCATCAACAAGTGTTCTCAGACCATCAACAAGTGTTCTCAGACCATCAACAAGTGTTCTCAGACCAACAAGTGTTCTCAGACCATCAACAAGTGTTCTCAGACCATCAACAAGTGTTCTCAGACCATCAACAAGTGTTCTCAGACCATCAACAAGTGTTCTCAGACCATTAACAAGTGTTCTCAGACCATCAACAAGTGTTCTCAGACCATCAACAAGTGTTCTCAGACCATCAACAAAAGTTTTCTCAGACCATCAACAAGTGTTCTCAGACCATCAATAAAAGTGTTCTCAGACCATCAACAAAAGTTTTCTCAGACCATCAACAAGTGTTCTCAGACCATCAACAAGTGTTCTCAGACCATCAAAAAAAAGTTTTCTCAGACCATCAACAAGTGTTCTCAGACCATCAACAAGTGTTCTCAGACCATCAACAAGTGTTCTCAGACCATCAACAAGTGTTTCCAGACAATCTAACAAAGTGTTCTCAGACCATCAACAAAAGTTTTCTCAGACCATCAACAAGTGTTCTCAGACCATCAACAAGTGTTCTCAGACCATCAACAAAAGTTTTCTCAGACCATCAACAAGTGTTCTCAGACCATCAACAAGTGTTCTCAGACCATCAACACAAGTGTTCTCAGACCATCAACAAGTGTTCTCAGACCATCAACAAAAGTTTTCTCACACCATCAACAAAAGTGTTCTCACACCATCAACAAAAGTGTTCTCAGACCAAAAACAAAAGTGTTCTCAGACTAACAACAAAGTTATCACCTATTAACTGTTATTTACGAGTTACTAACACTGTGTTAAGTGTTCTTTTATCTGTGTTACTCTATTGCTAAATATTGTTGTCTTAGCTCTGGTGTTCTACTGGTAGGAAGCCCCAAGTTATTATTTACTACAGATATACAAGCACGACAGTTACAACTACGGGAGTACCAACCAGGGGGCCTCCTACGAGTGAAACACC